AAAAAAAAAAAAAAAAAAAAGAAAAAAACTGCATTATTTCCAGTCAACGAGCCCTTGAAAATCCTAGGCATTTGGGTGGAGTATGAGTGGCCTAAACAACTGTTTGCACACAAAAACTTGTGGGGACCAGAAAAGCTGCCACGTGCCAGCAGATGCGACTGTTGATAAAAAGTAGCCGTCGACCAGTTAAATTTGTTTGCACAATTTCTGTAACTAATTGAAGCTAAGCGAAAAAATTTTGAGGTGTCAAGTGACTGCTGCACAGGCGGAAGCACGTCCGACTTGTGCCAGTTGTTGAAACTGCTCTCCAGTTCGGAACAGGCCGAACCACGGCAGTACCTCGGCGAGGACTGTGAAGAATATGCCAGCGAACCGGCCGGCAAAACAGAAAAAAGAAAACCAAATTTCATCCGTTTCGGCAGGGCTGCTGGTACATGTTGCTTCTCTTTCAAACTGACCTGTACAACATGTGTGTGTTTTGGAAAAAGGAATGGGGTGCCCGGTTTTTTAATCCTCCGGACAGAATGACCTGTCCGGTTGAAATTATGCACCTCTCGCCCCCGCGACTTCATCCAGCACTTATCTAGGTCTGACTTTCTTAGTGTGGTGTTCAATGTTCCTATGTTCCATTTTCCGTGCTCATCATGAAAATTCCGTGTCTTGCACTCCATTTCAGCATCGTTTTGTCCAGTGCTGCTTCCATCTGATCAGATTCTGTACTCCTTCGGTAGAACTGCTGCCGTTTGGACAAATTTTCACTCAACTTTGCGCTTCCCACCATCACAATTTTTTTTTCTCAATTTTTTTGTGAACAAGTTTTCCGGCACTTCCCATCTCTTTTTCTCTCGTATGGGCGAGGAAATAGTGAAATGCTGCATGGACCCAAAGAATCCAGAGGTAAAGTCAGTTCAGGGCTGATAGGGAGGAGGACAGGTTGATCGAGTATTCGCGCCTGCTCGATGCGGGAGAACTGTCTCAACTGCAAGCGTAAAAAGTGTTTTCACTTTCAGCGTCACCAACTGTATTCCGCGAAAAAGGCGTTGATCCAAACTTCCTGCGATTTGGACGTGCTTCAGGTGCATTTTTCTCTCATGGCACTGAACGAAGCTGGATAGGCAGCTCACTGCTTTTCAGTAGCACTACGATTTGGAAAGATCCGCTTCACAATAGCTAAACTAATTAGCTCCAAGCTGGGATAGCTCCCGCGCACACACTGTAGTCGTGCTTGGGGAAAAGTTGCCATAGAGTTGAAGCATTTGCTAATAGGTAAGGATGACCCCGCAAAATGAGTACGGCCTCCTGGAGCTCCCACATCTACTTCGGATGGCTCAAGCTAACCAGTGTGGCAGGCTTCTGACGTGAGAATCGCTCGCTCGAGATCATACTGTTATGAACAACCAGTGGTCAAAGCACCGGGCAAATTATCAGGTGAGCAGTGAAATTTGTTTCAGGTCGAACGATGGATCCGAATTTTTTGAGATTTGGAAAATCCACGGAGCCGAATTTCCTGAGATTCGGTAGACGAATGGAACTAAGCGAACCGAATTTCCTGCGCTTTGGCAGAGAGCCCAACGAAGAATTCAACCGTCAGTATCGAAAGCCAAATTTTTTGCGTTTTGGTTAATAATGATAGAAAATTTGCTGTTGCGCTGAGCGCGTTTGATGGGTGTGAAATGTCGAGGAGAAATAAAATGGCCACCACAAGCCTTTCATACAGAATCAGCCACCGCTCAGAGTGGAACTTTGCAATCGCAGCGCAGTGACATCCACACGCAGGCCTGCCTAGCCGCATCTCCTAAAGCTCAAACTCAAAGCAGCAGTGTCCAAGCCTCCGGACGCTGCCCGGACGGTAGCCGACGTGGCAACGGGGATAAAATCGTACTACTTTTGGAGTTTTATTTCCGGACATAGATGCGCATTTTGACGCACAGTGATGCACATATGCCAGTCGGCGTGACAACGTTTTCTGCGGCGAGCATGCTGCGAATACAGTGGAGCAAGATACGCGCAACAAACGCAGCACCGCACACTCACATTTTTTTGGTCCACTTGGCGCTCATAAAATTGGATTTCCAGTACATTACTTCCTTAATTTACATTTTAGGCTATCAGGTGTAATTTTTCTTTTGACCCCACTTCGCAGCAGAACACTGTAAAAAACGAGTTTTTTCTGCTGTGTGCTGCTTTACAGTACCACTGTGAGCTGAAAGTTTGATGTCCGCAGTTCATCTCTTTTGTGCGTTTTTCTAACCATCCACTCACAGCAAAAACACAGCACACGCTGCATCTTTTCGACCACAAGTACGAGAGCTAGTAAGCTGGAATTTTGCGATCAAAGCCTCCACCAGATGGGAGGCTCAAAAATGGTGTCAATTTTCCGGTTTCTCTTTGACTTCGGCTCAGCTTTGGGCAAATTTTATAACATTGAAGCCGTAAAGAAACAAGTCTGTAAAAAAGTTTCTGACCGCCTGCAATGCTACTAACTTAAAATCAACTCATGGTTCTTCTTTTTTCTTGTCCTACGAGCTCAGGTCTAAAGTCTTGTTAATTCTCGTAAAGCGAGCACGAAAAAAACACGATGTTAAATCTTTGGGATTTAATTCGTTCTACGTTGTCTTCCAACTTTGCCAAAATCCTGTGCCCCCAAACACTTACTTTTGAAGTCAAAGATCCGAGAACCACAACTACATCCCGAATTGTAATGATGCGGTACATACTTCTTCCGCTGAAGCTTTCTTCAGATGACTTTTCATCATTCAGTTGACTGACTAGCTGTGTCTCCCCCCATTTCATTCGTTGTTTTCCTCCTTCGTTGGCTCTCTGTTGGGAGTAGTTACTATTTACTGATGGCTGGTTAAGGGCATCTTGCGCCAAATCATGTCCACTCTAAATCTTCTGTTTTTCTGCTTAATGTGTTTTGTTTTGACAGTTGCGATCGTTTAACTCTGAGAAAATGAGTGCTGAGTTTTGTGTGCATGCTTTTTGACGCAAGCAACGTGAATAAAATGATCTCATGACGTAGTTAAGTCACTTGGTACTGTCCCAAAAATTTATCACGACGAGCTAAACTCCTTATATGTTTTATCGCGTTCGCTCATTGTGAGATGGCAGCAGTTTGTCGCGAAAACCCAACAAGGCTGGAGCTCTGGTGCGAGCTGCTGTTTATTAAATTGCAAAATCAACTCAAATTTGAGTCTCTGGCAAGATTTGAAGGTACCATGACAGCTGCATGCAATACATTCACCTCACATTTCAATGATTTAAATTAAATTTTCGAACATTTATTCAGCGCCTCTTCGTGTTGCAAAACTCTGAGTTAAACGTGAGATTATCGAAGCAGGGAGGCAGGGAAGCTTGGGAGACTGTGCTCTTGGCAGGAACCACCGTCTTCACCCCCTCCACCCCAAAAAAAGATTTCAGCTTTTTAGTTTAGATTTCGAAATGGATTATCCCGACACAAAAAAAAAATCACATGCACATATCGACTCACAACATTGCCAAAAAACCATAAAGCGTTTTGTCTGATGAGAAAAACACATAGAAAGGCGACTAGCCCCGTTTCGGTGCCATCATCTTCGGAAACCTTGTCGATCCACTGCAGTATTGGCCGCATCAGCGTAGCACTAACAGTAACAGAGCTTCCAGGTGAGTGAGGGCCTCTGTTCCCATAGTAACAGCATAGATGCAAAAATGCTGGTCCGCTGGAGCCTCTGAATAACAGAGCCGCATACTGCGCGAGACATCTTACGAGTAGCTTTTCCTGATCTTCCCAGCGAAAAAAACTCTAAAGCCCAAAACTATAAAATAAAATGCACTGATAGCTGTGCAACTGTTATTTGCCACAACCGTTGTACTGACAAAAGGTCCAGTTGTTGTGCTGCTTTGGAATGTATGCGAATTAATGGACCGAGGCATTCCAATTCCGTTATCCCTTGTCTTAACTATCTATTTTCGCCTCACTACTTTTGCTGCAGATAGCTATACTATTTGTCATGTTTTTATGCGTTTTTTACTTTCTTGGCAAGTATTCATTGCAAGTGTGCAGAGAGAGAGAGAGAGAGAAAGAGATTACATTTTGCTTGTCACACCACGATTTGCCTGCAATTCACTCGATATCGCATTCTCAACGGGGATCTATTCCTCAAACAGCTGACTGCTCAAAATTTAGCCACGTAACGGAGCATGTCCATCCCTTCACGTCAATTGGGTGCAAGGAGCGTGGCCTCACCGAGGCTGTATATCACAGCTACGAGACGCGCACTCTTGGGAGCCGTGACGGGATGAAGACGCTTCATTACATCACTAAGTCATGTGAAGCTGGAGGAGTTGCGTCCACGTTTCTACCATCGGAGCATTTTTCGGGCATTTGATTACTCTTGTAGAAACTGGTGATCGGTATCTCGCTCGGATGCGAATGAGGGCGCAGGGTATTTCTAATGTGACTGAGGGAGATGGGTGAGGGCGTAACAATTTTAGCGAAAATTAGGAGCAATTCCAAGGCTAGAGATTGAGTATCAATAAAAATCGGAAGTTGTTTTATAGCTCTATGAAATGGTATGTTTCGTGTCTCCAACAAAACGCAGTAGCGAGGAGTTCAGATTGTTGCGACTTATAAAATACTTGATTTTTGAGGATGAGGCACAACACTTACGGAGCAGTTTTTCTGCTTAATCGTGTTTTAACTTCCCTGCTTTCCTTCCTTTTTGTTGGCTCCTTCATGTTTTAACTTCCTTTCTTTCCTTCCTTCCTCATTTTGTTTGCTCCTTCACTCATATCTATTTCTTCCTGTCATCTGTCTTGCAAATTAGACACATGACT